CCCATAGGTATTATTGTGTGGCTCAAAGAGAAGCTGAATAGACATCTCGAGCCTCTTCCCCCCCTCAAACCACCCTTCTCCAAGGGAGACTTTCATTCCTACCAAAAGAAGTAGTAGGAAGTTGGGGCTTGGAGGCCACACTGTTCTCTTTGCGGGGAGGGACCAGGCTAGAATTATATCTATTTGCTCCTTTAAATATTATTAATCAGGAGTATATGATTAGGTCCAAACTTTTTTTTTTCTAAATCTCTATTTCTCATTGTTGGGAGAAGCAGGATCCCAAGCTACATTTCCAAGGCTTGATTCCTTTTCCCACCAGGAACACATATAGCAAATAGCTTTTTATATGTCATACAAAAGAGAAATCAGAGAAGGTGTACATAGAAGAATTGCTGTTGTTCTTCATTCTCGAAGAGAACAATGACATCAGGGAGGTGATGGATTGGATTTAAGTGAGGGAGGGCTGTACAAAGTCACCAGCCTCTCTTTTTCCTCCAGAGCCATCTGGGTCCAGTGAGGATGATGGGGTTCAGATCTGAACCCCTAAAAAAAAGACTATGTCTTTGGGATCTAAACCCAAAAAGGAAAAGCCCTGAATTTTCCCATGTGGCCCAAGTCTCTGGTATTTGCCTGGGGCAACTGGCCCTTCCCAGTTAATCCTTTCATTGTGGCCCCATGCCCAAACCTCCAATTCTCTGTCACCCCTAATCTAGCCCAGCCTTACCTTTGGATCTCCCCTGGCCACTTCCTACCCTCAATTCCTTCTAGACCCCTTCTCTGTTCCCACAATCTTCTGTATAAAAGATCTATCTTGCCTCCATTAAAGTGCTCAGATTCCTTAAGAGTTTGGCACGTCACACTCTCATTACTCATACTGAGTACTCCTTACTCATAATGATTACTCATAAATGCTCAGATTCTTAAAATCTGGTCAGTAGCTTGGATTGTTATAATCTCACCACCCTGACTGGTGTTCTAATAAACCTTGTCTTTGGTTGAAAGAAGGCTTGGGTCAAACTCATTGGAGGCAGGACCTGTGTTGCTTGCCCTTGAATGCCAGGGTCCCAGCACCCCTAGACCTTAACAGCTCCACCACTTTTCCAGTCTTGAGGACAATCTTTCCTACAATGTCCCTCCTGGTCACAGCTTGGGCATAGTCCTGTAGGCATTGGTCCTGGGGGCTTCGGGGGGAGGGGAGAGAGGGAGCAGTGCCCTGGAGGGCCACTCCTTGGACCAGTGGCCCTCCTTCTGGCAGGCATCAAAAGCAGGTTTCCCCACTGCCTGAGTTGCCAGGAGCACCCTTGGGTCTTTTCCTGGCCATGATAGCAGCCAAGAAATGAGCATATTCTCTGTCTCTAGCTCTTTCCCTGTATTCTCTTTCCTCTGCTCCAACTAGGTCTCTATTGTCAAAGACTCCAAAGGCTACCTCCAGTAATTGGGCCTGAGGCGTTTGGGGTCTCGTTGTCAATTCCTGCAGTTTCCTCCTAATATCTGGGGCAGACTGACTAATGAAATACATGCCAAGGATTGCTGCCCCTTCTATAGAGTCAGGATCTAAATTCATGTACTCAATAACTTCTACCAGCTGGTCTTGGAAAAGAGTAGGGTTTTCTTTTTCTCCTTGAGTAATTCCCTTAAGTTTTTGAAAATTTATTTCCTTTTGATATCTGATTCTTAGGCCTTCTAACAGGCAAATTACCATATGGTCTCTCTTTCCATATCCTCACTCTTCTGATAATCCCATCCCTGATCACTAGTGGGAACAGCAGCTGTTCCTGGGGGGGTATTTTGTGGGGTCATTGCTAGCCAAATGATCCCCAAATTTTGGGCTTGTTCCTAGATCCTCCTCTTCTCCTCAGTGGTACAACATGTGGAAAAGAGGATATGTAAATTTCCCCAAGAAAGCTCGAATTGTAGAGACACATGCCTAAAGCCCTCAGTAAATTTAGTGGGATCTTCAGGGTGTCAGCCCAGTTTCTCTTTAACCTGACTGAGATCTGAAATGGAGAATGGGACTTGCACTCTTATTGTCCCACTGGGCCAGGCAGCTACTTCCCTTAGAGGAAAAAGCCCTGAAGGCTCTGTGAAAATGGGGGCTTGGGAGGAAGGGAGATAGGAAGTAACACTTCTTGTGAAGGAGGGGCTGGGGAGTGCTGGCTGAACTGGATTGGACTGCAAGAGAGATCAGGCTAGCAAGGGGAAGGATCAGCTGGCATCAGAGGAGGAGATGTTGCAGAGACCACTGTGGGGGCAGGGCCAGGGCTGGGGCTGGGTGAGGGGGTGGGGGGAAGGTGAGGGCAGGGGAGGAGGTGCAGGGGAGGAGATGTGGAAGGTGAACAGGCAAGAAATGAGTGGGGGTGGGCTAGAAGAAAAGGGAAGGAAAACCAGGAGAAAGAGGGGGTGGTCAAGGAAAAAGGGCATGGGAAACAGGAAGGGCCAGGGGAGAATAGGGTGGGGATAGGAGCTGGGAAGTTGGTGGGAACAGAGGTTGGGAAGAGGGGGGGCCAAAATCCTAGGAGCCATAAGAGGGTCATCGAAAATGGCCAGTTGATTCCCACTTCCCTGGTGAGCATCTTACAATCTTTTCTGAGAATGGGGTATTGAGACACCTCATTAAAGGCCATCATGCAGGGTAAACCTAGCTGTAAGAGAGTATTGTATTATAAGGACTCAAAAATGGAGCATGCTTCATGGTCCTCCAGGTGATACCAAGGCCAAGCTGTGTTGCAAAAGAACACAAGCCTTTTCTTTTTAAGTTCTTTAGAGAAACTGATTTTTTTTTCCAATTTTGTAAAAGACAACCCAAAGGCGAATTTTTGGCAATTCAAAAGGATTGACCCATTATGGGCATAGGGCCTGGGAGGCCCTCCTTCCATAAAGGAGTGAAGTTTTCCCAATTCCCTAATGCTGAGAGAATTGAGAGAATTGGGTATGTGCTTCTGGACAGGGCATCCGTCCTTGTCCTCTGCTGTGGAAGGTGTGCCTGGGTTCATGGCCTTGAACAGAACCACTGGGCCAAGAGCCTGAGAGCATCAGGCTGAGTGAATGTTGAGGTCTAGGGGTTCCGGGACCCTGAAATTCAAGGGCAAGCAACACAGGTCCTGCCGCCAATGAATTCCACCCAAGGCTTCTTTCAACAAAGACAAGGTTTTTTAGAACACCAGTCAGGGTGGGTGAGATTCTAAGAATCCAAGCTACTGACCTGATTTTAGGAATCTGAGCATTTGTAATGAGAATACAAACAGGCCAAATTCTTTAGGAATATGAATACTTTAATGGAGGCAAAACAGATTTTTTATACAGAAGACTGAGGGAACAGAGGTCTAGAAGGAATTAAGGGTGGGAAGTGGCCAGGGGAGATCCAGAGGTAAGGCTGGGCTAGGTTAGAGGTGACAGAGAATTGGAGGTTTGGGCATGGGGCCACAATGAAAGGATTAACTAGGAAGGGTCAGTTGCCCCAGGCAAACACCAGGGACCTGGGACACAAGGGAAAGTTCAGGGCTTTTCCTTTCCTTTTCCTTTTTGGGGTCCAGATCCCAAAGACATGGTCTTTTCCTTTTAGGGGTTCAGATCCCATCCATATCATTGAGATATAGATCAGGACAACTGGATTGACTGGAGATGGCCCTGAATGCAGGGGAATATATACCAGACAATAGAGTGAAGGAGCCCTCCCATTTGAGGTAATAGCTCAAACAAGAAAGAATTCTAGATCTCACCCAAGGGAAAACTCCTTGAAGTCTCTGTTATAGCAAGCTAGGGATAGGGGCATGATGGTGACTGCCAGCTGCTCTCATGTCTTCCCAGAGTGTTTTCCTTCAGAAGCTTGAGGTGCGGTTAGCTTCTTCCATCTTCCCTCTGGAACTTGGAAGCCAGAAGCACTGAAAGCTACTTGAAGCTTGATGGTCTTAAGAAAACTGAAGAAGAAGGCCGGACTCTACTACTCTCACTGACTTCACCCCACCCCTCATACGGGGAGGGTATTCATCTCCACCAATGGGGAGAGAGTCCTGTACCAGTGGGCTTTGGGACAGGGATTGCATTCAGTCTTCTCTCACTGTCACCATATTCTGTACCTATCTGCCGGATGCTCCTGGCCTCCTTCTCCTTCCCCTTTCCCCCCCACCCAACAAAGATTGGAAGCAAAAACAAAAAAAGTATCGACCTTGGTGCATAACACTTTTATGTAGCATCCTAGATCTAAACTGGAAAGGATTTCAGGGTCATCTAGTCCAATCCCCTAATTTTGCAGTTGAGGAAACAGACCATGAGAGATGAAATGGTTTATCCAAGGTCACAAAGGTAATAAGGAATGGAGGTGGGACAGGAATCCAGGCTCTCTAGCTTCAGATGTGGTGCTACTTCCAGTGTACCATCTAGGGAAAATACAGACACAGTTATTTTGTACAGTCATGCAAGGTCCTCTCTCAGGGTATCACGGGTGCTATTTATAATGGACAACATTCATTAGGCCATTTTGGGATTTAAACCAAAGTGGCAAGAATTTTACCTGAATTTATAATGCTCCAAAGGTCTTTAAATCTTGCCTAAGGTCTTGCATCACAGAGAAATTGTCTCATACATTATTGCTCTGACCCATTGTTTATTAAGTCTAGACATATCTCACTACCACATCACTGAGCTCAAAACCAGGAAATAAGTGTGTGCACATGACTTTCCCCTTGTCAGAGAGGTCTGTACTTTCTTCTGCAGTTTATCTAACTACTGTTGTAAGTGGGCCATTCCAGAGAGACTTCAGCAAAATACAGACATTGAAAGGTAAATGGGAAAGTCCTCTCTTTTGGAAAGGAAATAGACATTCTCTAACCTAAAAAAAAAAAAAACAGAAAGCCTCAAATACATATGAAGAGGTCAGTAAGACAATTAACTTCCTTAATGTAGACAACATTCACACCGTTGTTCCTAAACACTCAACCACATAAGATTCCCAAAGGAGTAAGAGAGGTACAAATGATTGAACTGAATCTAATCACCCACAGGTAACATGGAGTTTTGAGCTTGCAGAGGAAGAATTTATCCAAAGGAGAGGTAAGTCTTCTCTCATATCCTGCCTGAAAGTGGCAAATGACTTTAGAGTGACAGAAAACCTCCTTCCAAAGCCTACTGTTTCCAGAATGTTGGGGTGAAGGTGTCTTTTTTTTTATTACTATGAAGTGCTCAGGCAAACCACAAATCAAAGTGCAAATCTTTTTTTTTCTATCAAAGGCCACTGACTTCCCAAACTAGTTGAATGTCACATGAGCAAAAAGAAATTTAACAGTTCAATTTTTTATTGAGAGAAAAAATAAAAAGAAAATCCAATTTTACCTTCTAAGGGGTCAGGGAGAAAAGCTGTTTTGTTCTTTTCAGTTCTAGGCATAGGCTAAATCAAATGTGTGTGTGTATGTGTGTGTGTGTGTGTGTGTGTGTGTGTGTGTGTGTGTGTGTGTGTGTGTGTGTGCATGCATGCATATATAAAAGCTTATGCCAAAATCCAATGAAATCATTTTCCTGCCTCATCCCCACTCCTCATGTTGCCCTTTTAAAGACAATTTTCACCTTTTCCCATCAAGGCTTCCCAAGAGATTGATTTCAACTAGATTTCACCTTTATAAAAGACATGACTTGGAGAAGAAGGGGTCCCTGGGAGTATTTAGGTTAGCAAAACTACTACGAATTAGTGACTAGCCCAGTCCAAAGGTTGTGGCTGCAGATGGAAATTTATTGCTCCCGTGCTAAAATTACGCGTTGTTCTGGTCCCCCTGACCACTCCCTCCTTTCCAGTAAGTATTAGTAAGTAAGTTTATAAGCAGCTGGTATAAAGGGGCAATAGCAGGAAATAAGATTGTGGTAAGAAAAATCCTGGTTTGAACCTTGCCCTGGTCAATGAGGCAAACTCAGGAAACAAGATAAAAGTAGTTTATTAGCACCCATCAAGGCAGCAAGTAGTTGGGATGCAGCTGGTGCAAATTTTAAACAATGCTTATTCTTATTCAGTCATGCCCAATCACCCTGTTTGGGGTTTTCTTGGCAAAGATATTAGAATGGTTTACTGTTTCCTTCTCTAGCTTGTGTTACAGATGAGAAAACTGAGGCAAACATGGTTAAGTGACTTGCCCAGGATCACAGAGCTAATATGTGTCTGAGGCTGGATTTGAACTCAGGTCTTCCTGACTCCAGGCCCAGCTCTCTATCTACTGTGCCACTTAGCTCTCCAAAGGTAGAATTTGCTTCAGGGCTGCCTCTTTCCAGACTTGTGAAAGAGAACTAGACAGAAGAATCACATATTTTATCAGGCTTTCATCCCCTGTGGCCAGGCTCAGGCTCCAAGGGTCCAGTCCCTGAATATTAGTAGGTGGCTTACCGAACAGAATTTTTAAAGGTGACAAGCCATAGTCCTGCCTACTACAATTTTTAAGTTGGAGCAGCACAAGGGGAAGTACCTGAGGCCATTTTAAATTTTAAAGTTTTTTACTTTTAGGCAATTGGGGTTAAGTGACTTGCCCAGGGTCAAACAGCTAGTAAGTGTCAAGTGTTTAGTCTGAGGTCATATTTGAACTCAGGTCCTCCTGACTTCAGGGCCAGTGCTCTATCTACTGCACTACCTAGCTGCTCCCTGAGGCTGTTTCGTGCCATAGTTTTCCCAAAAGGGTCTTAACTTCCCTGTTTAGCCACTGAACTCCTCCTGATGATTGTGGGAGATAAGGGGTATGCAGGTTCAGGGTTATCCCAAAACTTTTGGAGAGTTGCTTGGTTATTTCTATATGTAGTAAGTGTGGCTCTTTGTTACAGTCAATAGTACATGGCAGGCCAAATCTTGGTATTATGGCACTGATAGATACCTTGCTACTATTATGTTTGCTCTAGTGTGTGCTGCTGGAAAGGCCTCTACCCAGTGGCTCAATTGGTCTTGGCACACCAAAACATTTCTGTAACCCATAGACACTGGCAAGTCAATAAAGTCAATCTGCAGGTGTTGAAATGGCAGGGCCTCCCACTTTCTCCCCCCTTTTATCACAGTTTTCATCCGTGAGGAGTTGAACTATTGACAAGAAAACCAGCCAGAGAGCACACGGGGACCTTTGAAAGAACACCAGTAGCAAGCCATGACCAGAGAACTTGCAGTACAAGGGCCTCAGTTCCTGTATGTTCTTGGGTATGGAATTGCTGACATAGGACTTGCACTAAATGTTTAGGTGCAGTTGAGTGCCCATCTGGCATGACCCGAAGGCTGTCTTGTAGAAAGGCTTTGTGTCTGGTCACTTAAACATCAATTTCTGCACCAGTGTCAAAGGAAGAATAGTCAGTGGGTGGACTAGTAGATAGCATAAGCACAGTATTTGTGCTTTCAAGGACTCCAGCAGACAGCCCATTTGGCCATCTCATGAGCAAACCAGTTGCCATCTTGCAAAAATGATACCCTCTGGTATGGACTGGGCATTACATCATGAAGATGGTCTTGGGGAGCAAGATAGCTTGAAGGAGTTGGTCAATAAGTGGGGCATGAGCTTACTGTTTGCAGTGCTGAAGCATCTCCTTCCATGGCATGACAATCCCAAAAGGTATTTGGAATCTGTGTAAATGTTCAATTGGAGCCCCTTGGCCAGTTGACATGCCCTGTTCAGTGTCATCAACTTGGCTCCCTGTGTCCCAACTCCATTAGATCATATAGCCTCCCACTCAACAGCCTTGGGGGACACAACCACTCCCCCCCCAGTCACTTGAGACCCATTTCCATAAAAGGAGGAGTCTTGTGTGAACAATGTGAGATTGGGCTCCTCCAAGGGGACAACTGTGAGGTCAGGCTGTGGGCTCTCCCTGGCCCCAATTACCTCAAGGCAGTCTTCTGGCATCTTGCTATCTTGCAGGGGTTCAGGAAGGAGAGAGGTTGGACTTCAGACATTACAGAACCGAATGGAGAGATTAGGGTCAGACAAAAGCTTACCTCATAAGCAGCCACCTACTGGTGGGAAAAGGCTTGAGTCTTAGATTGGAGTAAACAGGCTGCAATACTATGAGGCACAGATAGTCAATGAGTGGCCAAGGACGAGGGTCAACTTCTTTTTACAAGCTCAGCAGTGGCTGCGAGGGCCCAAAGCACCTTGCACCCCCAGATCAAGTTGGCACAAGTAATAACCAAGAGGTCTGGGATGGGGCTCCTACGTCTGAGTGAGGACTCCCCAAGCAACCTCTCTCCATTCCTGAACAAAAAGGACAACAGTTTGTCAAAATCAGGCAGTCCCAAAGTTGGTGGGTAGACCACCACCTGCTTAGCTTGCTTAGCTGTTTCCTTTCAAGGCCCTGAGGGTATAAAGGATTCTTTAGCTGTGCAAACCATTAGTTCCTTGGTGAGTTCCACCAGTGATGGAATCCCAGGGTAGTAGCACCTCACACATACCTGGCATTTTGTTTTTGGTATTGGCATCTGAAGGATACCTTGGATCCTATCATTTATCAAAGCCCTAGTGCTGGAGTCTACTCATATCTCAGGGATTGCACTGTAGGAAGGGCAAACTAACTTTAAAGGGGTGGCTCAGTGGACTTTTTTAAAAAGACAGTGCAGGAGGAAAATGGTATCTTCCTCACAGGCTCCTTGTGATCAAGACGCAGGCAATAAATCATCCATATATTGAATAAGGCTGACCTCTTGGGTGGGTGCACATTTGAACAAGGATTTGGACAAATGCTTGTGAGTGTGGGGGAGATTCACAATAACCTTGAGGTAGCCTGGTCCAATGGTATTGCTGGCCCTTCCTGCCTCTAGACCTTCAAGTCTTGTTTTTAAGCATGTCCTGTATTCACCTGGCTGAATTAATTTTCCACAATTATCTATATACTGAGTCCAGTCTATGCTTGAGTTTTGGACATTCCCAGTGGAACTGGCAGTTTTCCCTTGTCTCAAGCTTTTAGCAGCTTGTCTAATAGGGAGTCCATGAGGAGACTTAATCTGTCCAATCCCATGATGATACCAGTATCCCCTGACCCTTCCATCCTTTGGCAACCTAATGTCAGGTCAAGACCAGTTAGTTACTCAACACTGCCTCTTCCCTTTTCTGTATCTTCATGATGTGAAATTTATTATTGGCTGATTAGTAGTTAAAAGTTTTATTAATCACAGCAATAACCATTATAACCAATTTCTAAAGGTTTAGATTAGACTATTTTATATATGCCTTGGTAGTATAATACTTGATAAGAGACTATGTATGTAACTTTGAGCTAATTTGCCTGTCGAAACAGATAAAGAAAATGAATGGAGGATGATTCACCCTGATCATGGGATGTTTTTCCAAGCACTTCTGTAGTACAGGGAGAGTGGGGTTGGGGACTTTTCCAAGGAGGTTGACTAACGCTGTGTTCCTGTTACCATGGGCTTTGGAAGATCCCTTTTGCAAATCAATGTAATTATGGACCAATCACAGCCTTAGTTTATTTGGTACCAGCTGACATTATGTAATAAAACTTATATAGACAGACTGTAAAAAAGAATGCTCTGATTGTATGGAATGGGAGGGTCTTCTGGTCCCTGAAGGGCCATTGATCTCTATTATTGACAATTGCTAGCCTTACTAATAAGTAGATTATGCTCAGACTTTTTGTGTCTCAGTTTCCCTTACTGGCAGATTTATCATGACAGTTAGTGACTCCATTCAGGAGGAACCCCAGGCCCAGGGCCACTGTTGTTAAGGCAGCCTCAGAGCACTCTGCTGATTATTTTTCACTGTGGGATTTCCCTGAGGAGGATTACCTTGGGAGATCAGATTTCTCCTCTTGGCCTCAAATCAGATTATCTCCTCAATAAGGCAAGCTGTTGACCAACCAAAGACTTTCTGCCATGAATATAAGCATCTTTGATTAAGAAATGAGAAACCTTTTTTACTGATAGAGTGCTTTTTTTTAATGATATAGTATTTTCCCTTACTAGAAGGAAAAAGATTTATTTTCTAGCACTTCAAAGAAATTAAGCACTTGTATGGTTTTTATTACAAAGCAGAACTCTGAATAGAGGTCTCTGCCTTTTAAAAGTAATTATGTAAAACAAGCATTTAGACCAAAACTCTAAAATGTAACAGGAAGAGTTGAGGAAAAATTTGTAATACTAGGAATCATTTGTCAAAGTGGCAGTTTGCCAAGGAAATATAGCATTTAGTTGGAAAGACAAAAATTTTAAGTAATCATTTGTTTACTTTCCAAAACAATTGTAGCAGTCCAATAAATCCTTAGAAAGAGGGTTTGCCAGTTTCAAGGACTGCACATTCTAAGCAATTGGCTAAAGGTAACAAGCCTCATAGCAGTGAGGGACCTTGACTGGATGTCTGGGAGATGCCCCACGTAGGAACATGCAATCTTCCCTAATTAATCCTCCCCAGCGCCTCTTCTCATCATCTGCGGGAGGTTGTCCATTTATAATCTCTTTAGAGGGTGATAGTAGGGGCAGGGAGCCAGCGTTCCTTCAGGGATCCCCTTGGGAAAGTTACTGAGCTCCTGGGGTCAAGGTGGCTTGTGGGATCAGCTAAGGATGACAAAAGCATATGCTGTTAAACTAAGTGAGAGATGGTCAAAGACTGCTGGAGACTTAGATGATAATCTGTTCTGGTGGAAGTGTGGTGCTTTGGATTATTATATTTTAGAAAAATTGAGGTTGGTTATGGAAAACTCTTACCTGTATCAAATAAATTATTGGTTCTGCTGGGCAGCTTTGAGTGATAGATCTTGTCTGCAAGGGCCCTTTTCTTTCTCTCCTGTCCTTGATGTTGTGGTCCTCTTTGAGAATGAAGGACAAATAACAACAGCAATCCTATACCTTTTCCTCTCAGACCCTGATTGCTGTCCCTCGTTGTGTTAACTGCTCTACTGGTTTATGCTCCAACTTACAGTCAAAAATGGTTAGAATGGATTAATGATCAGCTTTGTTTGGAGGCTGTATTCTTATTGTTTTTTAAAAATTTTATTTATTTATAATTTATGAAATAAAACAAGCATTTTCATAACATAGAATAAAAAAAGATAATTGCACATGAAACTGTAAATCTATTATGTACAACTTGCAATTCCTTTCAAATATATATAATAAAGTTATCATGTATCAAATATATATAATAAAGTTATCATTTTTTTAAACCTTTTTTTCCTTCCCTCCCTATCTGCCCTAGAGGGCGTTACCATTAGACAGAAATATGTGTGTGTGTGTGTGTGTGTGTGTGTGTGTGTGTGTATGTGTGTGTAAAACCATTCATACATACTTATATTTATCAGTTCCTTCTCTGGATGAATCTATTGTCCTCCTTCATATGTCCTTTGTAGTTAATTTAGGCATTTATAATAGTGAAAATGACTTAGTAGCTCAAAGCTGTTAGTAAAACAATATTGCTATTACTGTATACAACATTCTCTTGGTTCTGCTCATTTTGCTCTTCATTATTTCTTGCAAGTCTATCCATGTTTTTCTAAAATCAATGGGCTTATCATTTCTTAGAGTATAGTAGTATTCCATCACAATCATATACCACTACTTGTTCAGCCATTCTCCACTTGATGGGTATCCCTGCAATTTCCAGTTCTTTGCTGCCACAAAAAGAACTGTTACAAATATCCACATAGATTCTTTTCTTTTTTCCCTAAGCATCTTTGGAAATAAACCTAGTTGTGGTGTTGCTGGGTCAAGGGTATAGGCAGTTTAGTAACTCTTTGGGCATAATTCCAGATTGCTGTCCAACAATGAAGAAGCATCCCAATATTTTCACATCCCCTCCAACATTTGCCATTTCCCCTTCAATCATTTTAGCCAATCGATAGGTGTAAAATGATATCTCAATCTCAAGGTTGTTTTAATTCGCATTTCTCTAATCAATAATGATTTAGAGTATTTTTTTCTTATGACTATAAATTGTTTTGATTTCTTTTTCTAAAACTGCCTGTCCAACATCCTTTGACCATTTATCAGTTGGGGAATGATTAGTATTCTTATAGATTTTATTAAGTTCTTTCTGTATTTGAGATATGAGACTTTCATCTGAGAAACTGTGTATAAAATTCCTTACCCCCTCCCCCAGTTTCTGCTTTCTTTCTTATCTTGGCTACATTTGTCTTATCTGTACAAAATCTTTTTTAATATGACATAATTGAAATTATCCCTTTTACACTTTGTTCTCTGTCTGTTGTTTACTTATGCGTTGTTCATCTGTCCATAAATCTGATAAGTAATATGTTCCGCGTTCTTCAAGTTTTCTTGTAATATCTCTCTATCTAGGTCATGTGCCCATTTTTATCTTATCTTGGTAAATGGTAGAAGATACTGATCTATGCCCAATTTCTGCCATACTGCTTCCAGTTTTCACAACAATTTTTATGCAATAGTGAATTCTTATCTCAAAAACTTAAAACTCAAAAACTCAAAAACTTCTCAAACACAAAGTTACAATATTTATTTGCTGCTCTAAATTGTATTTCTATTCTGTTCCTTTTTCCATTTCTTTCTTTTTCTTTTTATTAGCCAATATCGGATAGTTTTAATAATTACTGCCTTATAATATAGTTTAAGATCTAGTAGTGCTATATTGTTCTTCTGAATTACCTCGGTGCTATTGATCTTTTGGTAAGCAAAGCTACATTTCTACTTGAGACCTCCTGCCTGCCTACAAACACTCCTTTGAAGGATAAGATCGACTGATGCCATCTCATCTTCAGTGCGTGTCTCCAACCCTAAGGAAGCCTGGCCACACACTGATCCAGAGAATTTCCTTGCTCCAGCACCTTCTTTTCCACTGATGAACTGTTATTGTCACATCTGTTACACTGTACCTATGGGCTATCATTACGAGGTCCTTGTTTGCATGAATTGTAAAATCTCCTCATAAATATCAGAATGATTGTCAGATCACTTTACTTACTAGAAGAGTCCTTCAGCTTGTTGACTGAAGATACCATCTGTTAGGTATGTCCCGTATAAAATGCAAGAGGTTGAGAAGGACTGTGAGGCTCCTCTGTCAGATTTTGGGTCAACTGCTATACTCAAGGCTGTCAATCTTCTCTCTTCAGAGGCTAAGAATTTGACTAAGGCTCTGTGTGAGTCTTATCACTTCTTTCAAGCCCAAACTAATACCCTGGTGTATTTGCTTACACAGACTCAGGATCAATGAAAGAATTTGATAATTCCATTGGTGGTCCGTGAAATGATTATCAGTTGATTATATCTATATTCTTATATAGATTTAGTCACAGATAAGCTAATTATTACGCAATGAAGACGATTCGTGCCCATTTTCTCCCTTCTTTTTTATGCGCCAACATATTTTCATTTGTGATATCTTTCTGATGGGGACTGAGTCCATCAGACTTTCCCAATGCATTGGACTCTTGTCTGTGATCCATGAAAGGCTTGCTTGCCTTTCATGGATCAAAGGGAGGAATTTGTGAAATTGATTACTGAGAGTTTTATTAATCACAGCAATAACCATTGTAATCAATTTCTGAAGGCTTAGATTTAGAACTATTTTGTCCAGGCCTTGTGGTATGATACTTGATAGGAGACTATGCATGTTACGGATGATAGTTCAACATGGTTATGAGATGTTTTCCTAGCACTGAGTTTGTATAGTACTGGGGAGTGTGGGGTTGGATACTTTTCCAAGGATGTTGACTAACTCTGTGTCCCTGTTGCCATGGGCTCTGGAAGACCCTTTTTGCAAATCAATGTAATTACGGACCAATTACAGCCTTAGTTCAGTTGTCACCTTGACATTATGTAATGAACTTAATGTAATCAGACCGTAAAAAAGGATACTCTGGTTGTATGGGGGGGAGGGTTGGTCCTCTGGTCACTGAGGGGTCATTGACCTCTATTATTGGTGATTGCTAGCCTTACCAATACGTAGATTATGTTTGGATGTTTGTGCCTCAGTTTCTCTTAATCACAGATTTATCATGACAATGCACAAATAAGAGAGAATCAGATTTGATTTGCAACCTTTTTCTCCTTATCCTTCCTGAGTTTGGGGAGCTTAATTCTCTGACCACTTCATGGCTGACTGAGAGATGAGAGAGTCCACTCTGACCCACTATAGGAGAAAGGTCTGAGGGCTGGCTGTGGAGTCAGAGTAGGTTCACCCAATGATAGTCATGTAAGCAAAGGGTCTCTATGTGAGTTTCCAAATTGTTGAGAAAAATCCTGGTTCAGGCCTTGCCCTGGTCAATGAGGCAAACTCAGTAAATAAGACAAAGTAGTTTATTAGCACACCAAGGCAGCAAGCAGTGGGGATGCAGCTGGTGCAAATTTTAAACCACGTTTGTTCTTGTTCAGTCATGTCCAACTCTTCATGACCCCATTTGGGATTTTCTTGGTAAAGAGATTAGAATGGTTTGCCATTTCCTTCTCCGGCTCATTTTACACATGAGGAAACTGAGGCAAACAGGGTCAAGAGACTTGCCCAGGATCATGCAGTTAGTAAGTGTCTGAGGCTGGATTTGAACTCAGGTCTTTCTGACTCCAGACCTGGCATTCTATCTACTGGACCACCTAGCTACCCTTCAAACCATCCACAGCTTTTATAGACAGGAGTAAATGATTTCCATGCAAGGGTGAAAAATACTAACTGGTATATGTATGAAGAAATGGGTTTTATTCCACCTCAGCTTTCCCCCATGTGTAAATACACATGTGCAAGTGTATTTCTAGAGGGTGGTCTCATGCAGCCTGACTGTTTAAGTGTAACCAAAGGTTAAGGGTTTATACATGGAATCTGTCAGGCTGACTTTGCACAATTGCAAAGGGGAGCCAGGAAGCATGTACAAACTGTCCCAAAGATCAAAGGAGCATAATTCGTAAGTTGTTTCATATTAATCAAAATTATATCCTGGTAATATGTGCTGAAGTGGGGAAGCCATCTAGACGCTTCTTGTCAAGGTTTCTGGTCTTTTGATACATAAATTCCAGAGAAAATCCAGACCTCCACAGTTCCAGACCAATAGAATATCAAAAAGGTCCTGATACCTTCAGGACAATGACTTTGAAGTTTTACTGATAACTTTGAGATGATTTGGATGTGTTAATGAGCTAACCCTAAAGTGGCACAGAGAAGAGTTGGTCTATTTCCCCCCAAAATGGTCTATAAAAATGAGACCTCAAACTTCTGACCCACTCCCCCGAACCCTCTTCCATCTCCATTGGGATCCATGCTGCCTAATGCTCCCTGTGATATTCTCTGACTCTCTCTCTTTCCCCATTGAGAGAAATGAATATTACCAATATCTTGGGGAGATTCAGAGCTCTCTCCTTCTTCCAAAGTCTGATTTTAAGTTCATTCTCCTGAAGAATATTGCTGATGATGAGGTTGGACTAATTTTCTTGTTCAAGACCCCATTCTGGTGGAAGCTATCAGGCTTGGGTGGGGTATGTATTCTTTGAATAGATAGCTCAAAGCTCTGGGTGGTCTGATGTAGAGATACTTTCTCTGTCCAAGGGTGATGTAATGTCTCTCCCAGCCCTTCATGTTGATATACCTCATCTTCCACTGTGTCATCCAATCAGAGGTGATTGTCACCCCTGGGGAACAGCTACTCTTTGAAGGGTATATGAAATGTGAGCCCACCGCCATAATTGTCTTTGGCGTAAGAGAGATGGCCAAATGACCATCCTTTTATTAGTAACCTGCTGGCCTCATTAATGAAATGATTAAATTACCCAGAAACTATGTCTCTCAAACCTTTTTTAATTGTTACACCATCCTCTTCTCCATGTTGCCTGCCTTACTTCACCACCCCATCCCCTGTTCCCACATCCCTATCTGCCTCTGTATCCCTCCCCACTTTTGGCCACTTGTCTCCGTGCCTTATTAAAGTGTGACTGCAGCCCTGTTACCTGCTGCCAATTATGGGCTTTCCTGGTGAATGCCTGCTCCCATTTCATAATTTCATAAATTATCGATTCATTCCTTGTGGGATTTTAATAGCAATAGCTCCCAAGAGTGAGTCGTCCAAAATGGAGGTTGCATGTCCCACCATCCCGGAAGAACACTTAACTCCAGCATCCCCGTAATAGCTGCTAGGCTTCCTTGTAACCTGCTCTCTAACACGCTGCAGGGATTGAAATATTAACCTAGTAGTAACTTCTGGCCACTTTGCACTGTGTTCTTTCTTATTCCTTATCTCTAGGATGTTGCCTGTGAAATATCTTTTGATTGCCTAATACCTTCCTCCAACAGACAGGCACCACAGCTCAGATTCTTTTTGTGATCTAGCCACAGGCTATTGCTCCCACTGCTCAAAAACCTGTGGTTCCCTATTTCCTTTTAGATAAAAATAGAAACTCAGTCTGGCATTAGGGACTGTAGAGGATCCCAGAAAAGTATAGGACATGGAACCCATCTCTGAATACTTTCAAATCTAGCTGGGGAGTCAAGAAGTAGGAAAAAATTGGGGGCAAGTAAATGCTCAACTCTACGGTGCTGCCTTTTAGAGCGATAGGTACTGGGTAAAGGGAAAAAGAGATCATGCGAGCTAGTGTAGTCAAGTTGACATAAACTGCATCCTATGATTCCCCCTCCCCCTCCCTTCACCAGCCCCACCCCTGTGTTCTTCCTTTTGGTTCCTGGCTAGCCCTGCACCTCTTTGTTCCTTAGTTCTCAGTCCCTATGTGTCCCTGAACTCTTCGATGGCCCCCCTCCCCCATGGGCTTGTTGCCGGTTCCTGCCTCCCTCCCTCCATTCTGCAAGTCGGGGCAAATTCCCGTTATATAAAAGCACTTTTTTTAGAAGTCTGCATAAAGCAAGAACTGTCTGTACGTGGTCCTGCTCTTTCTTTTGTCTCTATGTATGTACTCTTTCCTGATCTTGGTTAAATGAGATAACCTTCCTTTACACTACATGTATTTGTATGAACAATATTTTTGTGTGCTGTCTCTCCTGTGAACTCTCTGGAAGTAGGGGCTGTTTTTGCCTTTCTTCCTATCTCCAAAACTTTGTGCTTAGTAAATACTTACTAAGCTGAACTGGATGAACTGAATAAGCAGTTGGTAACGGGTGGGGTAGAAGGAACATGTGTGCCAAAGATAGAAAAGATAGGCACAGTTACTGCACAGTTTTCAACTAAGGTTCCACCAATAGACTGTAGAAATGTAGATTTAAAGTTTCCCCTGTTCCGTTACCATTGATACTTTCCTTTAAACTTTGGAAAAGGAAAGCATGTTATAATGTTACAAGTATGTCATGTAGAGTCATGAAGATCTGGGTTCAGATTCCACATCTGATATTAGTTGTGTGAACATGGGCAAGTCACCTGATCTTCTGAGCCTCAGTTCTCCCATATGTGAAAAAAGGAATGATGAGATCATAGATTTAGAAGTCAATTATAGCTGTTATCATTGTTGTTGTTATAAAAGCAAATGCCTCTGTAATCCCAGGGAAAGCTTCAATGATTAATTATAATGACAATAAAGAAAATAGAACAGCAGACACAGTGTAGTGAACAGAGGGTCATCCTTGGAGTCATTTGTGACCTTGGTTCAAGTTCTGCTCAGGATTCACACTCCATCAGGGTGACCAGGAAAAAGCCAGATAACCTCTGAGTGCCCTAGGCAACTCTCAAAGATTAAAAATTGCCAGCGAGTTGTTGACCTGGAGAGTATTTCCACCCTGGGAATTCCTCACACCCAATGAAATCACTGGTCCAGACTAAAACAAAACAAAAAACCAAATCTATAGGCAACAGCAGAGAGAAAGTAATTGTAACAAATTCGATCAAGTGATTGTTAACCCAAAGGTCTATTCTAGAATCAGAGACATGAAATGGGAGCTGAGAGGAAGAACCTGGATATTAAACCAACTAATTGTAATCATTTGATTAAATAATGGTAATGATTATTATGTAAATCTGCTTAGATCTACAATTAGAAATGGGGAAATGAATATGGAAGGGAAGGACCTATGTATAACCAAGCATGAGACTGTAATGACAGAGTGAAAGTTGAACACTGGCCAAAGAAAATATTTTCTAGCAAAAACTCCCATTTGAATTATGAACACCCAGAAAAGTCAGAAAAATAAATGTCTGTCTCCAGGATACGGTTTGACTCAGATACATGCCCAGGCTGGGGATTGAATATTGCAGAGGCTGGCTCAATTAAAGAAAACAAAAAAGACAAAAAAGAATTGGACGATGCCATAGTGAAATGAAACTTCCTCAAAGATTCCTTCTGCTTTAAGTCAGTTTAGAGACATTTGTGGCTAGCTGCTTAGCCAACTCACTCATGGAAATTATGTTTTTGCTTTTTGGTTTTTTTTTAGGTAGGCAATGGGATTAAGTGACTTGCCCAGGGTCACACAGCTATTTAGTGTTATGTGTCTGAGGCCAGATTTGAGCTCGGTTCCTCCTGAATCACAGGGCTGGTGCTCAATCCACTGCGACACCTAGCTGCCCCACTAGTGGAAATTATGGAGTGAGTGTGAATGTGGAATAAACCACTTGGATATTTTGAATTTGTATCTTGGCCAGCGTTGTATCTGGAAAGCGTTGCCTCAGTCCTCTCCCACCAAAGTCTGGCATAGCCTAATTTGGTAGGGGGTGGGGAATGCGGGGGAAGTGGGGGGGGAGGGGAGTAATAAGAAGAAGGTAGGGGAATCAAACAGGGGAGTAGGTTTTAAGTGCTTCTGTTACTTACAGAACATATCGGCTATATAGTCTGAGGTACATTTGTGAAATATGACCAGATAAGGATAATATAAATATTTATAGAGCACTTGAAAATTCACAGAATGCAGATGCACTATATTATTTGAGCTTCCCAGCAACCTCTAGAAGTAGGTATCATCACTTCCATTTAGCAGATGAGGAAATAGAAGCTCAGAGATTTTATGTGACAAAAAAGATCCCCTCCCAGCTGCCTGCTAAGGATCAGGTTAAAACTTTGAAATTTACATTTTC